GTAATAGTTAAGTATTGAATTTACATAACTCCTTTCCTATCCTCTCTCCCTTCTAACTTCTCCCATGTTCTCTTGATCTTACTAAACTCATGACCTTTCTCTTCTAATATTTTTATTCTGTTACGTATTCATATGTAAATACAAATGCAATCTGCCTAGTCCATTTAGTGTTGCTTATATGTCTTTTGGTTTAGGCTGACCACTTGGGATCTATCCGGGGACTTGGCCTTGGATTCTCCCTCTTTCAACAGCCCTTAACTGCCTCTAGCAGCATATACCTGTAATCCCAGCATTCCGGAGGTAGAGGCAGGAAGATCAGAAGTTCAAGGTTATCCTTGTCTACACAGTAAGTTTGCATCCCAGCTGTGATCCAGGATACTCTGTCTAAAATAAAAGAAAAGAAGAAGGAAAGAAGGCAACAGAAATCTAGCAGCATGACTGTAGGGCTGAGAAGGGAGAAGTTTAAGAAATGACGGGTTGCCCGGCTGTGGTTGACTGGGAAGAATATTGTACAGGAACAAAGCGAGAAGACTCATCAGGCTTTGGGCGTTGGGAGTTGAAATACTAACAATGACCAAGACTGAACTAACTGGTCACTGAAGAGCCTTCCATCCATGAACAGGGCTGGGTCAAGGGAAAGCATTAGAAACTACATGCAGATGCAATGACAGAGTGAGGGAACCAGAGGAGCAGAGCGCTCCAAAGAGGAGTCTGCTGGAGAAGACTTGGTCTAGGGATGGAGCTGTGTGTCATGTCTCCGAGATGAGAGGACAAGCAGGGTACCAATGGAGCAGGGCAGAGACCCAGGTGAAATGACAGATGGTTGCTTTTTTTAAAGTAACTCCGTGGCCCTTAAACCTTCATTAGGAATAGCTGATTTCTGGGCATTAAAACTTTTGATTTGAGGAACCTGTTAGTTCTATTCACATTGGGTGTCTTTTGATTGTTCATCTCGATAATTAGTGGTGTGAAACTGGTTGTTTTTCCATCAAATAGGGCATTTCTTCCTTATATGAGGGTAAAGATCTCTCAAAACCAAACCAACAAAACCTGAAAATTACTTCTTATTTTGTTTAAGTTAGAAAAAAGAAGTTAGTGCTGGGATAATGTAATGGCATAGCCTCCGCCACAGACTACCTCCAGTCCAGGCCATAGACTCTGTTAGTGTTGTTTTGTTTTTGAGACAGGGTCTCACTCTTCAGTCCAAGATGATTCCATGGTCAGAGCAATCCTCCTACCTCAGCTCCCACAAGTGCTAAGATTATAGCATGGGCCATCAATGCCTGGATCGACTCATTCAGCTCCCACCAATGCCGAGATTACGGCATCAGCCATCCTGCCTGGCTCAACCCATAGATTTTTTTTTTTAAGTCTGCTGAGTTTCCAAATGATCTTGCAGCATATTAGAGATTAGTTCTGGGATATCTGAGAATAGGATGTATTTTAAATGCATTCAACTTGACAGAGTCACAACTTTTTTTTAAACATTTATTTATTTATTATGTATACAATACTCTGTGTGCATGCCTGGAGGCCAGAAGGGGCACCAGACCTCTTTACAGATGGTTGTGAGCCACCATGTGGTTGCTGGGAATTGAACTCAGGACCTTTGGAAGAGCAGGCAATGCTCTTAACCACTGAGCCATCTCTCCAGCCCCCGAGTCACAACTTTTTAAAAGGAAAAAAAAAACATCTCTAGCATAGGGATTCCTTGTTCTTTTTATAGAAACTTATCAAAATAACGTTATTTAATATATATGTTTATTATAAAAATAATGCTAAGGGTTAGAAAGGTGCCTCAGTGGATAAAAACATTTGATGCCAAGCCTGACAGCTTGTTCAATCTTTGGGCCCCACATGGTAGAAGGAGTTGTCCTCTGATTCACGTGGACTCCTCTCGCCACATACAAACAAATAAATGCATTTAGTTGGAAATAATTTTTAAAATTCACAGATGTGGGAGTAAATACAAAAGCCCTGTTATGAGACACTGTAAACCTACACCAATCACCTTCTAGACTTTCAGAACACACATGCACGCGCGCGTGCACACACACACACACACACATGTAAATTTTTTGTGATTTGCCCAACCCATACTATCCTATTTTCTACTCTCCATCAGAATAATCAGGGACTGGAGAGATGGCTCATTGCTTAAGAGAACATACTAGTTTGCAGAGGAGTTCAGTTCCCAGCACCCTGGTTGTGTGACTCACAATTACCTGTAACTCCAGCTCCAGGACAATCTGACGCATCTGGCCTCCACAGGCACCTGGACTCATGTGCTTATACTCCACCTCCCCCGTAAACACATAATTACAAATGCAATAAACCTTAAAAACCCAAGCAACATCAATTAGCAGCATTAATAATGGCAGTGTTCACATCGGTATCACTTTATAGCGGGGTCCTATAGCTGCCGTGCTGAAGCTGTATCTTCACTGAGGTCCTTCACACCAAACGAAGGACCCACTTTCACTGTATTTCAGACCAAGGGATTCCCCAAAAGCAGGTCCCCCTAGCCTCTCTGTAAGGTGTTCTACAAAGTATGTCCTCTCAAAGCTTGGATTAGAAACAATTCAATATGCAGTGGCTAAGGGGTTTTCTTTGGTGGGAAACGGTGGCCTTCTCAGCTTGATGTGTTAAATATCCAGATGACATCCTGAGTGGTGACAACGGAAATCATAACAACAGCTTCATAGCTGAGGTCGCTATACAGTCCAGCTAATACTGCAGCGCTAGTGGGCTGGGGGTGGGGAAGTTCAGTGGTAGAGCACCTGCCTAACAGGTACACAGCTGTGTTCAGTCCTTATCGCTATAAACAAGCAGAGCTAACGTGGGCACATCCACGACTGGATAACACACTAATAAAAACTGGAGGCATATGCAAGCTCCATTATATTGATAAGAGCACTGGTAAGAGTCGGAGACACTTTTTCTCCCTCATGATTTATTACCTGGACATAGGCACTTATCATCCAAATCCTTGGTAAAAGCAGTACATGGAGACTCAATAACGCCAGCTTCTTGTCTGCCCTCGTTTCGCCATCTTAGGCAGGCCATTTGAAGCCCCATGAACATGCGATGCCACATATAAAACCCACTATGGACTTCCCAGAGGGGAGCTCTTGGTAATAAGGAACATTGACCGAGGGCTCACAAGGCTGCATGACTCCTCTTAGCACTTTGAGAGGTGTTTCTCATTTAATGCTCACAGTGAAACTTGGGAAAGTTCTATAAATATCCCAGTTTATAGATGAGCCAAGTGGAGATTTAGGAGGTGCAAGTGAATATCGTTGTGGGTTAAACATCGCTGCTGACCAAACTAAAAGGAGAGCTCCACATTCCAAGGTCAGATGTCTCCAATGAAGCCCAGCACTCTTGAGCTTAGAGGTACACGCTGGCACCCCATACTTCCTTCCTTTCCCACTTATCCTGGGGATTTTACTGGTGGGATTTTGACTTACTGTAAGCTCAGGACTCACTCCACACCTTACATACTAATCTTTGCACTGCCTTTTGCACAGTTGTAGAAAAGAAAACATCAAATCAAACTAAATGAATCAAATGAAGAGTATAAAAGACAGTCTTGGACTGGTTTAAAAAGAAAATCAACTGGATGTCTGCATGTAGAAGAATACAAATAGAGCCATACCTATTTTTTTTAATGTGGTGTGGTCTTTCTCCTGGCTTCTGTGAAATTAACAAATCGCCAAACAACCCAGGCTGTTTCTAAGGCAGTAAGTTGCACTTCACAAACTGACAGCAAGGCCTCATTGCTGAAGATAACACCCACACAACTCACACCTCTTCACTATGAAGAGGTTGAGCTGGTGTGTTGCGTACATGGAACCTTCACCCCCATGTTCTAGTGACTAAGACATGGAATGGTACTCTACAGGCCACCAAAATAAAACAGTAAACACCAACTTCATCACAAAACCTTTGTTCTACAATCTACTGTCTAGAAAATATGCTAGGGCAATGGTGGCACAAACCTTGTGGGAGTAACCAACTGAAGTCTCATTTGGCTTATACTCTATGACATGGAACTCATTCCTGACACTGCTTGGGTAACTAAGAGCCAGAGTCAAGATAGCCCAGAGACCTAGAGTAAAATGAAATACTACTAATTAAAAAAAAAAGGGACCAAACAATAAAATGACCTCTAACAATATTCTGCTGTACTCATAGATCAGTGCCTTATTCAGTCATCACCAAAGAGACTTCCTCCTGCAGCAAATGGGAACAGATACAGAGACCCACAGCCAGACATTCTGCAGAGAGGGAGACCTTGAAACACACAGCTTTAAATGAGATGTCTCCATTAAAGCCCACCCCTCAGAGCTCAGGGAATCCCAAAGAGGAGGCAGAAGGAGCAATGGAGACAGAGGGGAAGGAGGACTCCAGGAGAACAAGGGCCTTTAAAATAACTGAGCAAAGCTCATATGAACTCAGAGACTGAAGCAGCATGCACAGGGCCTACACAGGTCTGCACCAGGTCCTCTGTGTATGTATAGAGTTTTCAGATTAGTGCTTCATGGGACTCCTGAATGTGTGGGCCAGTGGGCCTCTGATTCCTGGCCTTCTCTTGGCGCTCTTTTATTTTTCCGTTGGCTTGCCTTGTTCAACTTTGATGTGATGGTTTTTGTTGTATTATTTTAGTAAATTTTGTTGCTATTTCCCACAAGATTGTTCTTTTCTAATGAAATAGAAAGGAAGTAGATCCAGATAGGAGAGGAGGTGAGTAGGAACTGGGAGGAATAGAGGGAGAGGAAGTTGCTTTCAGATTGTATTATGTGTGGAAAAAAAATCTATGTTTTAATAAAAGGGGGAAATGCACGGGGGTATAAATCAAGGGCAAAAAATCCAGGAAAACAAATTTTAAAAAACCTTAAATGTATTAAGCTTGTCTTAAAATACTGATGTCAGCTATCACTTACAGTTCCCTCCCTCCCTCCCTCCCTCCCTTTTTTCTTTTCTTTCTTTCTTCCTTTCTTCCTTCCCTCCCTCTTTTCTTCCCTCCTTCTTTCCCTTCCTTCCATCCTTCCTTCCCTCCTTTTCTTTTGCAATAGGTGTTTCTTTATTGCCCAGGCTGATGTTGAACTCATGGATGTAACAGGTCTTTAACTAGGCCTCCAGATGGAGTAGGCAGGACTATACTTGCAAGCTCCAGTACCCATGAGGAACTCTTCTTCAAGTTTCCAAGTAATAATAAACATCCCAGAAGGATTGCAGACATATCTGTAGGAAGTCTAGAACAGCAAAGGAAGCCATTGTTGGTAGTTTCTTACCCTCTGGCTCCTGGCTCTTTTCATGGATCCACCACCCATACAATCACACACTGAGACTTAATTCTTACTTATAAATGCCCTGCCTTAGCTTGGCTTGTTTCTTGCCAGCTTTTCTTAAATTATCCCATCTACCTTTTGCCTCTGGGCTTTTATCTTTATTTCTATACATCTTTTCTTCCCTTCTGGCTAAATGGCAGGCCCATGAAGTCCTCCTCTTCCTCTCACTTCTAGATTTTCCCTTCTAGTTATTCTTTCTGCCCGCCTGCCCGCTCCACCTACCCTTTCTCCTGTCTTGCTCTTGGCCGTTCAGCTCTTTATTAGATCAACCAGGTGTTTTAGGCAGGCAAAGTAACGCAGCTTCACAGAGTTAAGCAAATGCAGCTTAAAAGAATGCACCACATCTTTGCATCGTTAAATAAATGTTCCACAGCAGAAACAAACGTAACACATCTTAAAATAAATATTCTACAGCAGCCACTAAAGAGAAGCGAGCCCAGAGTGGGTGTGTCAACTCCCAGGACGGATGATCACAGCATTTCCCCTGAACTCCTCTCATACAGTGTGATTGTCTCCTCCATTGCCTTATGCGTTTGACTTCAAACTATCTGTGTGGCTGTTAAGATCTGCTAGCTTGGCCTGTCACCTGGGTACCTGCCCTTTAAGAGACAAGCCCTGCCCACTCCCAAACCCCCTCTTTTGCTAAGGATCTCCTGCCTCCTCCAGCCTGCTTGCACTCTCTCTCCACATCTCTCTTTTGAAGAGGTAACTTCAACCTCTCCCGTTACTCCCCGCCACTTTCTCTGCCTCTCTCTCTTCTTTCCTATTCCCCCTTCCTTCTTCCTTTTCCTCTCCATAATCCACTAAATAAACTCCATACTCTCTCTCTCTCTCTCTCTCTCTCTCTGCATGGTGTACAACCATATCTTTAAAAAGAATAACAGTGGGAGAGAGATTAAAGATCTCATTTTATAAATTCCCCAGTTAAAGCTTCAGGTCCAAGACACTTGTCCAAGGATTTTGAAGCCTCTGCTTTTCCATTGCCTTTGGTTCAGAGTGGATAGATATGGACATATCACACAGCCAAGGTATACCCTTAATTTGACTAGAGCTTCCCAAAAATTCAATACTTGACTTCATTCATATTCTTATTTTTTCTTTAATTTAGAGAGCTCTCCTAACTAACTGAAAAAAAATGAATAAATGAATAAATAAATAAATAAATAAATAACTCCTTTGCCAACTGAGATCAACACCTGCAGAGTCTTTGGTTGTATAGCTTGCCTTCTCCAGCAACTCAAACTCCAGGACTCATCTGTCTCCCCAATCTGGTCTCTGGCCCCCTTTAAGCCTATGAAATTTGCTATAATACAGTGTTTCATTTGAAGGTCTCTGCCACCTCTTCAGCTACATTGGCTCACCTCGTGAAGATGCTCGGCAGAGAGCAGTGTTGACTTGCTGAGGACACTAGCGCAGCTCCAGCTTTCTAGTCCTAGCCAAGTTATCCTTAGCCTGTAGAAGGGAGGCAAAAAGAAAAGTGTCATTTCCAGGCCGCCACATCTCAGATTCTGCTAACCCAGGAGCAAAACCCTTTTTAGCATTTGAAAGGAAAGGCAATTGTATCACTGAACTTCACTCTGCGGCCTCCAGACTTTTCTTGACCGGGAAAACAAAGAGCACAGAGCAAAACCATTCACACCCTTCTTCAGTCAGGATTAGCAGAGACCTCCCACTAAACAAGAGGCCTTCCAGAGGTCCCTTTTCAGAGTGGATTGAGGAGGAGGGCACTGGCCTCTGGACAGAATGTTTATCGTCACCCAGGGAGCAGGCTGTTTCTGTTTTCCTTCCGGCCTGTACAAAGGTTACAGCTGTCAGAACCGGACATTTCCGTCCTGATTTGCTTGCTGGTGGCCACATTATGCTTCCTTGCAGCTCTGCAGTATTTTCAGAATCTTGGCTCCAACTTAACTTGGAAAGAAGGGCCACTCTGAGCCAGGACAATATTCATATTCATCAAATCAAAAGGCGTGGATTGATGGATCCTGTGCATCCTACACTGTGGTAGGTGTTGGAAGGAGGCAACTGCACAACTCAGATGTAGAATCTAGACCGTTTGGATGGATTGGAAAGACTCCTATTGAGTAAGGAGATGCTCATTATTATTTAAAGACAGCTATGAGAAATGTTAGGAGGAACATGGTGCTCTGTGTTTGACAAATGCTTAACAGGAGAGTGGTTCATCTCGTTCCGTAATTTGTACTTGTGAAGAAGAAAGAAGCAAGCAAAAGGTCCTTGGGGAAAAGCCTGCCCTGGCCTAGGAATTTGAAGGGGCGAACCAAGGCTGGGGAAGACAGAATGGGCCTGAGCCAGGCAGCTGGGGAGTTTAGGTATTGCTTTCTGTTAGTCTCTGCTTCTGGGGCCTTCAATGAGGGGAGTTGTTGCAAGGAAGCTGCTTGTTTCATTTTCTGGCTGCTTATCCACAAAATAATAACACAGAAACTGTATTAAGTCTTTGCTTGGCTCTAGCTTTATATTGGCTAACTCTTACATACTAATTTAACCTATTTCTATTCATCTGTATTGCCACATGGCTGTGGCTTACCGACTAAAGTTCTGCATCAGAGGCTACATGGCTTCTCTCTGACTCTACCTCTTTTTCCCAGCATTCAGCTTAGTTTTCTTCACCTAGGCCTGTTCCCCTATAGCTCTGCATTAGGCTCAAAGCAGTTCCTTTATTAACCAATGGTTTTCACAGCCTACAGAGGGGAGATCCCACATCAGGAAATCACTTCAGAGATTTGTAACCTCGAGAGTTTGGGGGTCAGAGAGATGATTCTAGGGGTAAAAGTTCTGCCTCTAAGCCTAAGGATCTGAATTCAGTCCCCAAGACACGGCAGAAGGAGAGAATCAATGTCTGTAAATGGGATAAACACACACACACACACACACACACACACACACACACACACAAACACTCTTTTATTTAGAAAAAAAAAAAAGGCTTATGGACTACTGGGCCTTCACTCAAACATCAGGTCTGATGACCTTAGTTTGATCCCTGAATCTGATCAGTGCCAGGAAGTTGTCCTCTGGCCTCCACACGTACACAGCCACACATGTACACCTGTTCTCATACACACAAAGAAGGAAAGAGAGTCAGCTGTAGACAGAGGTGCAAGGGTGGCTACAGGGAAAACAGTTAATAAGCTCTGTCAAAAGGCAAAGTGAGACGGTCTCAAATTCTATGACTTGCTGGGGACTTTGTTAAAATGCAGACTCTGTCCTACCAGAACCTTGTATAGAGCCCCAGAGTCTGTATTTGGAGCAGAGTCCCAGGTGCCCATAAGGAAAGGCATGGGCCAACACTTGCCTTTATTATCCGGGTAGTAGTGGAGATGTGGAGAAGCAGGCTCACTTGAATGCTAGCTAGTTTCTGGGAAGACCACACAAACATCAAGATGCTTCACAGGTCTCAGCCTTGGGTGAGTGGTTGGAAACAGAGGTGTCCAGCTGTTGCTGATGGCACAGCCCCAAGCTGCTGGCCTGCCCTGGGAAGCCTCCTCCTCCCCTGTGGGCTAGTGAGATGGGGAAGCCTATATCACAGGCGCTTTTGGCAGCTGGTTCTGCTAACATGTTTGCAACCGCTAATGAGCTGTAGATGGTAGCTCTGAAGTTACTTACACATAGTTTAAGATGGCAGTGGTGTTTAACGTCAAGCGTTTATGTATTTCCTGAGTCGGTTTATTTGCAAAATGGAGATAATAGTGTCTATTTTAGGAACTCTGTAGACTGTGGATGAAAGTTGGTAAATTAGTAAAGCAACGTTGAAGAGCGATTTGTCAGAATTTATTAAAATCAAAAATGCATATTGTCTAAGACTCGAGAATCCTAGGTAAATCTCAGAAAGGCTCTTGAGCAATGCACTGAGAGACACTGTACCCAATCATTCACCGAAATGCTTTCTCAATAAGAGAAAATTAGAAACAGGGTAGACATCCATCAGAAAAAAATATGCAAGCGAGCATAGTAATTGACATGCAGTGTGCAGAGGGGCGGCTTAACTGAAGAACTGGCTCTCTGTAAGTCAGCATGGATGGACCTCAGAAGGCACGCCTGATGAAAGAAAAGGGAAATCAAACCGCACAGTGAGAAGTACGGTCTGATTCATTCACACAGGCTTTCAAAGCGGACCCTGCACTACACACTTTTATGGATCTGTATGTCTATGGAAAATAGATCGGAAGGACACAGTAGCTACACTGGGAACAATGGACAAAGGTTTAAAACAAAATAGGGGTCATGTCTAGACAGATGATTATATCATGCCAGTAACAGAAAAGAATGACTGATTGAATCAATTCAGTCCTGTGCCTGCAGCTCAACCTTAGGAACAAAATAAAGCAAAACCAAACATAATACTATCGCTTTTCTGGGATTAAATGACATAATAGCCCAATGTCTGGCACATAGTAAAGGCTTAATAAACGGTAATCATTACTATTATTATGCCCGCCTTCTGCACTCTCTCTTTTCAAGTACTATAGACTCTAGCACAATGGTCGTGCAAAGGAGGGGTTTGGTTGGGTACTTTTCTCTATCCTAAATTTCCAATTCTCATTTATTGGCAGGAAGGCTGTAAAAACAAAAGGCTTGGTTTGCAGCCAGGTATTGATGCTCACTGAGGCTACTCTAACGGGTTAAAAAAATGCTCCAAGGCAAAGACCCAACAAGAAGCCCAGCCCAACAACCCAATAAACAACTCTTAGGAAAAGAATGCCTTACCTATGTTCTGTCCTGCATTTGCATAAGTAGTTTATTAATCACATCTAGGTTGAGCAAAAAGGGAAAATATGATAAAAAAAAAAAAAACCCAACCAACCCACCCAGGCATTCTAGAAAAGCAGCTGGCTTCAGTTGGCTTTAGGCTTCTGGGTCTACTTCTAGCTGCCTTGCCCCGGCCTAATTTCTTGTCCTCAGCTTGGAGTGCCCATGTCCAGGTACCAATTTCTGAGTGAGTTTTATAAGCAACTCAAGGAAGCTCTGACTCAGCTGGGCAGAAAGGGGGCTTTATTGGAAGGAAACCATAGAGCTCACAGAATTAAACAGAACAAAATAGCCAGGTCTTGGGCAAAAGAAGGGGAGGCTAGGAGATCTTAAAAATGTACATCTCTTTCTTTGGTCAAGTCATGAAACCACCCATTCCAACTTGGAGTGCCATTCTCTCTGGAGAGACTGGTTTTGCCAGCTTAGTTCAGGTGATATGGGGCAGGGGGATGGGATTGGCCGTTCTATTAGGACTACCTGAAATCTAAAGGGTACGTCTCCTAGAAAAATGACTTCTAAAACACGGGGGTAAATTTGCTGGCTGACTTCATTGACTTAAGCTGCCACAACAATATATTATAGGCAGAGTGGTTTAAACAAAGATTTTCCTCATGGCTGTACAACCTCAAGATTCAAAAGATACCAGCTCAGCTGAGTTCTGCTGACGGTTATCTTCTGGTTGGGTTATAGACAGTCACCAGGATGCTGTGTCCTCAAGGCTAAGAGAACTCTGGGGTCTCTTCTAATTTTCATAAGGACAGTAGTCCCATCAAGAAGTTCCCCACCTTGATAACGTCCTCTAAATCTAATTATCTCCCAAAGGCCCTGTTTATAAATACCATCTCCTCTAGAGTTAGGGTTTCAACCCATAGCAGTGGATTGGCAAATATAACACACGTCTGAAACACAGCTAAATGTGGTTTGCATATTATTCTCTAATTCCAAAGGTCACACTCAAAAGACATATTAGAACTAAATGACTAGCTCACTTATCTAATCGTGGGAACTCGACTCCACACTGTGCATTTCCCCTCTTTGATACTTTCAAGAGTGGGCTCATGACACACACTCCCTGTCTTAGTCAGGGTTCTCCAGAGGAACACAAACAATAAAACACATATAATTATAAGAGAGGATTTATTGGGTTGTCTCTTACAACCAGAGGCTGAAGAGTCCCTCAGTGGTCATCTGTAGGCAGTAGATCTGGGAAAACCAGTAGCTACTCAGTCCAAGAAGCTGGAAGCCCCAGAACTAGGGGGCTAATTACACAAGCCTGTTTATGGCTGACCGCCTGGGAGCTCCCCGGAGAGCCGCTGCTATGAGCCCACAGTCAAAGGCTGGAGAATCTAGACTTTGATGTTCTCGGGAGATGGCCACAAAAACCACAGCTGAGACAGAGCCAAGCTTATTGGTGGCCTTGCCCCCTTTTCTGTTTTGTGTCCTATCCCGCCAGACACCCAGGGCAGGTCTTTCCCCTCAGATTCCTCACTCACCCATTTGCTAATTGCTTCTAGAAACATCTCACAGACATGCCCAGAGGTTTTCTTCACCTTATCTGTAGGTGTCTCTCAATCTAGTCAACAACCAAGATTAACTAGGCATACTCCTTATGTCACGGGGCACAACGTCCCATAAATTCTTAGTAACAGAGCCATAGGGGCCTCAGATCTTCCAAGGAAGTGGGTCTCAACTTTACCTCAACTTTTAAAGAGAACACACATGCAGGGGACCAAATCAATTGATCCGAGGGAGTTTAGGCATAGGTTTGTTGTTCTGTTTTGACATCAGTATGTGTGAACACTCCAGGTGATTTGAAGTTTGGGAGGTGCTGGTTGAGGGGCTGGTTGTCTTTCTCCTCCAAAAAAAAAGTCTGTGCGAAGAGAGATGGCTGTCAGCTTGCTTTAATGGCTACTGTGAGGG